TTTTTTTAATTTTCCCCGGGTGTTAAAAAGCTATGATCCGGCCCTGGCTATAGCAGTAATGACAATTGACGTTTTAAAGTTCGTCTTTTTTCCACTGCGGCCACGAAACTGTCCATCGACGTGTTACGAATTCTGATTCTGTTAAATAACATTTTTCTTTTAAAAAAATGTCTGTTATAATATTTTTAAATCTTATTTTAAAACTATTTTTATTTTAGTAGGTTATAGCCTATAGGAAACCCACTGAGATGAAAAATAAGCACATTATCATTGTAAATATAATTTCTAAGATTCCTCAAAACTCGGAAGAGTGGACAATTATCAAGAAAGATTGGCCAAGTACACCAGTCGTAGGAATGCGGCTTAATAATAAGAATATAGGCCTACCACAAAATGAATACTGCAGACTGCAAGTAGGTATTCATTGTAATAACCATAACAGTATAACAAATAATACATTTAGTGTTGTATAGGGAACATAATTTATTTATTTAAAACGGATTCTATTTGAATAATAATAACAATGACAATAATAAATCGTCAGGACTCGGGACCGTGCCTTGCTAGAAAGAATAATTCAATTTAAAAATATAATTAATATTATAATATACAATAAGCGATGATCGACGGCCGAAAATAGGGGGAAATAATTCAAAAATAGCTAGATAAACCACAAAATGGTCAATACATGTATGGGGAATTTGTCAAAATTAAATGCGATCGTTGGCCGCTATTAATAAATATTATATTATTATGCCGCCGCCGCCGCCGCGTAGGCGTTGAGGTGAGCCTTGCCTGGACAACATTCATTCTGCAATTTGGTCTCAAGGAGTCAACACTCAACAGTCAACTCTTTTTTTCTCAATCGCAACACTCAAAAGTCGTAAGTAAAATGTTGAATAGTATTAAAACTATTTTATTAATACTCCAGTATAATATGATATATTTAATATTTTACGAATCTTTATACACCGATTACATTTTAAATAAATCTAATGATTGTACCTATTCAATTTTTTAATACGTTTTAATATTTAAAAGAATACAATTTGACGAAATACATTTTTTAAAAAATAAAATATTTCTTTTGCATTCAATAATATTTTTTGTTGCTTCGAGATTTCTTCAATGTATAGGACGTGTTGTATTTTAAATCTGTATTACATCAAATTACTTTACACAATTTAATTAAATCATTATTAATTTTGGTTTTTGAAATCGTTTGACATTGGTTGGTTTGATTAACAAGTATTGTCATGACACATTGTATTGCTAATAATTTAATTTTTACATCAATAATATTATTACGAAACACAATTTGATTTATTATTATTGGTTTAATTTTGTATACAAATATGTAGTATTAAGATTTAAGACTAATTTAAGAGGTCGTAACACTGGTATTTGTTGTCTCCGTCTTACAAGTGCATAAACATAGCACATTTACGCTCAGCAGAACACGTGTAGCTTCATCAGTTTAAAAATTAGAGTGAATTGACCTATTATGAAACTTAATGGTAAGAACATTATCTGTGTTTGTATGTTGGTTAAATTTTTAAGTGAGTTATGAGCATTTTTAATTTATGGTATATTGTATACGTATAACTTGCTAAAAAATTTAACTATCGTAAAAAACCAACATACAAACATAGATAATGTTCTTACCATTAAGTTTCATAATAGGTCAATTCACTCTAATTTTCAAACTGACGAAGCTACACGTGTTCTGCTGAGCGTAAATGTGCTATGTTATGCACTTGTAAGACGGAGACAACAAATGTCGGTGTTACATCCTCTTAATTCTGTACAATTTAAAAATAACAGTTATTTTTCCTTGGTTAGTATAAATTCAAATTTATTACATTAATTGGTAAATAGGATAACCAAGTATTTAACTTTCAGCGTACCTATTGTGGTTGAATATACAACTAATATTGATCATGTTGTAAATATTGTTAAATTTATTATTTCTATTTTTAAAATCGAAATCATTCATCGTAATATTTATATTCCAAAATAACAACATTAATTTGATAAAAATAACTAACTAATTGTAGTATAGACAGTAGGTATAGTGTATAAATATTGAATTATTTTGTCTCATGTACCTATTATATAAACTTTATGCCTATAATTTAACTTATGTTTAGATGTCTACATATATATATAATTATGGCGGCGGCGGCGGCGGCAATCGTGGTGGCGGCGGCAAACGTGGTGGCGGCGGCGGTCGTGGTGGCGGTAAAGCCCCCAACAGAAATAGTAAGTATATATTATCATATGATACCAACTAATTGGTTATTTACTTATCATGGATGTGTTTTAATTTTGATTCCTTTGATTTTCTAGAATGCATAGTTTGTTTCAAGAGGGGGCATACCGCCCAAAATTGCGAGTACGCAAAGCGCGCCGCTGCGGCGGCCACAGATGCTGCCGCTGAGGCTTCAAAGAGAGCAGCCAGGGCAGAGAAAGCCGCAGAAGCGGCCATCTCTCTGGCAAAAAAATTAAGGGAGGAGGCTGCCCTGGCTGCTCAGCAGCAGCAACCGCAACCGCAACAGCAGCAACCGCAGTACTTAAATTAATACTCAAAATAAATACTAATTAACTAATACTTATTTTAAATATAAAAAACAAATTAATTCGATGTGTTTTAATTTCCTGATCATCATTACACTTTATTAATTGGAGTTACTAATTTGTAGGTGTCTTGTAATTTAAAGATATGCGTACATGTAATGATAAAGATGTTCAAAATTTAAAATAGTAGGATCATATAAAATGTAGTCTTCCACACAAGCTATATTCATAGACAACCTATTTAAAAGAAACAAATAAATAATAAATTTAATTAACTGTTCTCGTGATTTACGGTGCAATTAGACATTTCAAATGTCAAATCCATTGAAAACTGAACTGTGCTGAGTAAAAATTAAATATATTATATATTATATGTTATTAGATTGGTAAACATAATGATACCGACATTATACATATATTTTTTTGTCAATTCGCAATAGGTAGGTAGGTAACTAATAATTCGAAACTGTAACGCATTATTCGATAGAAATTAGTAATTACTTTTAAAAAGTAATTTATTCTGATTCTTGATTTATTCTGTGATATAATATTAAAAATTTTAATATTTTTAAATTAAGCGGCCAGTGGTAATGTAATTTGTTGTTTATTCCAAACCAAACTGATATGATATTTTTCAGCACGGACTAAAATATCTTAGTCCGTGTTTTTCATCCATGATAGTTGTATTGATATAAACCGTTTTTATTACGAGCGTCTAGAGACACTGTCTCATATGTCTATGCTATTATCTATGGTTTTAAGACCGTGATAAAATCTATAAACATAACCTCAATTGTATGTCCAACATTTAAATTGGTAACCGTCCCTGACCCTTACCGCAATTATATTTAATAATTTGTTATCAAAATTTAACAAATCACGATTATTGATAAAGCAAATTTCTCTATGTTATTTTCTCAAATTTGTATCATTTTTTGAATATTCATTAAACTGAATATTAATAATACTGTATATAGAACTTTTTATAAATGATCACTGTAAAGGAGAATGTAAACATTTAGCAGAAATAATAGAAAAAACTAGGGACCCGAGTTATATAATATACTATCCTAAGTAACAACATTTTTTGGTTGCATATGTGTATGACAATTTTAATAATTATTCATATAAATTTATTATATAAAATTAATCGGTGGAAGATAATAATTATTATATTCTATTCAAGGGGAAATATTTACGTTATACATTATATACTTACATTATATATTTACACTTTTAATATTGTAATTTCAGGTACAATACTATTTTATTATTTTTGAAGGACTGTTGCTCCTTCTTACTAACACTAGTTATTTAGTAATTTATATATTTTGTTCTTACTAACACTGTACTAATCACAATATATAACTTTTAATATATATAACAAATATGTAACAGTAATTATGTATGACACTAAAAATTGTAATGTCTACACTGAAATATCAAAATTGTAAACTATTATAACAATTGTAATCAAATGTATGTCAAATTGTAAATCAACTATTGTGATTAATTAACTTAACTATGATTGTTAAAGATTCTTAACCCTTAAAGGTTAATAATCTTTTTTTTGGTGGGGAGGTGAATGGGATTACGCAATTCATGTACAACGCTCACAATAACAAGAACTACTTATGTAGAAAGCAGCCTCGTCGACCGCACCCAAAAGTGGTCATAGCTAGAATAGACGTTTTGAATCACAACAACTTCCCAAGGGCGCCTGCATGCCACGCGCCGCTCAATTCAAAGGGCGTCGCCTTCGTATATTCGTATATATAGAGGCTAGGGCTCCAATACAAATTAGATGTACCAGAGCCGCCAAGACCGAGACAGCAGCTTATGGACACAGCCTTACACGGAGATTATCAACTACTACAACAAGTCAACTCACGACGCTGCAATTTCACCACGACTACATTAATTATTATTGGTTTTAATAAAGTACAATTGATTCATATTTTAAATTGACTATATTTTATTGTAAAAGCACGACAGCCTTTGGATCCCTGAAGGGCGCGTAACACTGGTTTGATTTTTTTATTCATGTCATCATGAACCTAGAACAATAAATTTTACATTTTTTGAATTCAATCCATTTATCATATCTATGCAAGATTTTTGTTAAATATTTGAAATCTGAATGATGGGCAGTTGATTGTAAAACGAACCAAAGGATTAATGATAAGCGTAATATAATAAAATGTGAAAATGGATGTGTGAAGTGCTTTAACAGGACTGAATAAGAAATCAATTAATTTTGGGTAGTGCATACTAAAATCGATTTTGTTGAAAACTTGTTTTGCATAAAAATACCTGAAGAATGGGTTGTGATAGCTGTGTTATTTTATGAGAAGAAATATTTTTTGGTATTGTCCAAAGTAATTGTTGAAGTTAATGATTTTTGTAAGCTAAGTTTTAAAGTATCAATTATTTATTAACTTAGGTACTTCCCAATATATATTGCTTCGTTTAGCAAAACCCACATAATGACCAATTGCCCTTGTATTTGAAAGAGGTGGGTAATACCCAATTGTGCCTCTCAGATATAACAGCTTCTCTCCAATGCGTAAAAAATTTGGTATGTCTCCAAGTCGGCAATTTTTCATTTCATTTGGTATTGGACTTTCATTTTTACACGAAATTGCTATGAACACCATTTTGTTGTATATTTTTTCATAAATTATGTTTCCTTTACAATTGTCTTCGGTTTGTTTTTCGTTGGCTTCGAATCGGTCATATTTGTCCATCAATGTTTGCAATTCACTTATTTTTTCATCTTTGAAATTAAAAAGTAATGATGGGAACGTTATTGTTGCAAATTGTTTTTGACAAGCAGTATTTGAACATTTTTTTTATTTCATTCAAAGAAAAAATGCTCAAATCTTTAAGAATTTCAACTATGTTACATTGGCGGATATCCGGGGGGCTTGGGGGGCTTATCCCCCCCTGATAGCCTCAAAGTCCCCTCTAAAATGTTTGCCATATTATAAAAATATTGTACAGTTCAGTAAAAAATATTAAGAAACATTTTTTTAAATATATATTGTACATTTCAGTTAAAAATGTTGAGACAATTTTCGTTATATTATATACAAGGTGACACCCGTTAGATCACTCTGTATATAAATAATTTAGAACACATACATAGCACTGTTGTATGATGATATGATTTCCGTTAAATTGTTATTAACTATTTGTAAAAGTTTATTGAGGTACCGTGGTCCGTGACACCGTATTCTTATCTCTCGTGTAAAAATAAATATTAGGGAAATCCAAAACTGTCGTCTTTTGTGTCAATTATGTTGGCGAGTGGCCTGTTTCCGTAGCTGCGTGTGACTGTGTGAGACTGAGAGAGGTAGTATTGTAGTAATGTTTTGTTTGTAAATTGTACATAGTACGTCGTGTTGTCGTGTTAATTATTTTCAAACGGGAATAACGTTATAACTTGTCGGTTGTTATTTCAAACAACTGTTTGAAACAAAATAATATGTTTAGTATTTTTAACATAAAAAAAAAAGAGCTGCCCGTCGAGGCTGTCGAGCCCGTCGAGGCAGAAACGTCTAGCTCTGCGTCTTGCTCCATTGATGTGGTCAGTACTATAAATACCAGACAGGCTATCGATGATTTAGGAAACCTAAATTCAAGTCCTATTCAGCCAAAAATTAAGGTAACTAAAATTTTAAAATAAAATAAATTAATTTTTGTTATTAATAGGTATATCAATTTCGTTAAGTAGATTATTTGCAATTAGTTATAATTATAAATGCAGAAAAAATAAATATCTTAATAATGTTTTTCTTATTAAAAAAAAATAGTTTCCTTTGAACAAGTTTGGAGTGCAAAATCGGAGCTTCAGTGAATCATACTTTAACAAATTTGAATGGGTTGAATATAGTGTTTCTGCAGATGCCATATTTTGTTATGCATGCCGAATTTTTGTGACAGGCTCAGTAGAACCTTCATTTACATCAATAGGATTCAGAAATTGGAAAAAAGTAAGTATTTAATAAAATATTATTTAGTCATATTATTATGAAAATTGTAATAATATATCTAATTTCATAGTTAAGCGGATCCAGAGGGAAAAAAGATAAAAAGTTAACAAAGCTAGAAGCACATAATGGGACTGAAGCTCATTTAACATCTATGGCCCGATGGATTGCATATAGGTCTGGGAAATCACATAGTAGTGTTCATACACAATTGATGTCAAATCATAAATTGGTGGTTGAATCTAACAGAAAATATGTTAAAATGCTAATAGACATAGTTATACATATAGCTTCTCAAGGTTTAGCATATAGAGGTCATGATGAGAGCAAGACATCATTAAATCGAGGTATATCCATAATATTTATTATGTGCATTTAAAAAAATATAATTTAATTTATTTTAATTTAATATAATTTTAACGTTTGACATAAGACATTTTGCTTTATAGTAGATACACCAAAACAATTTTATCAGTAAATATAAAAAATAAGGTTTAGACTTCCTTACCCTTAGCCCTTACCCAAGTCCCTAACGTTTAAAAATTTCATAGGGAATTTCATTGAAACTTGTATTTTCCAAACATATACCTGAATTTGCTGAAAAATTTAAAAGTTCTATTAACTATACTAGTCATTCAATACAAGAACAACTTATTAGTCTGTGTGCTGATAGTGTAAGAGACACAATTATACAAGAAATAGGAGATGGTGTGTTTGGTGTAATGTGTGATGAAGCACGGTTGGTAGGTACTTAACCTAATATTTATTACAACTTAAAATTATAATAAACAATAAAAATTGTGTTGTAAATGTGTTCTATAAATATTTTTCAGTTGTTATAAGGAAGAACAAATGGCTTTATGTGTTAGGTACACAAAAGATTTAAATATTCATGAGAGATTTTTAGGATTTATAGATTGTTCTGTTAAACAAGATGCCCAAGCTCTAAGTCAACATATTTTTGATTATTTCAAAGCTTGTAATTTAAGTGATAAAGCACAAATTATTGGTCAGTCATATGATGGGGCTAGCCTTATGGGTGGAAAATTTAACGGCGTTCAAGCCAAAATTCAAAACAAATATCCTCACGCAGTATATACCCATTGTATGGCACACCGTGTTAATCTAGTTGTTGTTGACATGTGTACATTTGTAAAAGTAAGTGTAATAAGAGTATGAACTAATGTGCAAATTTTAATTTGTGTTCAACTTTTTTATTTAAGGATACAAGATGTTTATTTAATACGTTAGAAAGTATTTATGTTCATTTTTCCTATCCGACAAAAAATCAAAAGCTCATTGATATGCAAAAAAAATTGGGGTTAAAAATTAAAACAATTGGAAGAATCAGTGATACAAGGTGGAATTGCAGATACAAAAATTGTGATGCTGTCTTAGACTGTTACCAAGCAATTATTCATGTATTACAAGAAGAAATTGAAAATGACAATGACAAAGATGTAAATGAAGCTTTAGGTAATATTTATAAATCGTAACACACATTTCATTTTAATGTATTTAAAAATCCTAATAGAACTTTTACTTCAACAGGAATACTTACTAATTTACAAAAAGGCTCTTTTATTGTAAATTTGTTTGTTATACGCGAAGTACTTAGCATCATTAACGTCATGAGTAACACGATGCAAGAAAAAAATGCCACCTTGGGAAAAGCAGTAGTGATAATCAATAGTGTTATAACAAGTTTTGAAACTTCTCGTACTCCAGATTCTTTTACTGATCTTTGGCAGTCGATACAGCAATTTGCAGATGAAAATAATATTACAATTGAAATTCCATACCAAGCACGAGGTAAGAGGAAAAGAAATGAGCCAGTTCATTTTAACAATTTCATACTAACTACATCAACAAGCGCAGCAGCTGAACCAATCGAGTCAATTGAGTCTGTGCATGACTATTATAGATCCAATATTTATTATAAAATATTAGAATCAATAATTGTAAATTTAAAAAAAAGATTTTCTCCAGAAAGTTTAACATTGGCTGTTTCTGTGGATAAATTCATGCAACTTCAATATGAAGGAAGCTTAATATTTATTGATCATTATAAGGTACTATTTACATTATATTTAATACTTATCATATTAAACACATTAATATTTATATTTTGAAGTAGATGTAAACAATGTATAAAGTACCATAAATGCAAAAAATAATATTTTATTATTTTATATTTTAGGATTTATTGGATACTAACAAATTAAACATTAAATCTGAAATGACTGTTGCCAGAAATTTTATAAATAAAACCAACAATGGTTTGACTATTGACGATTTGAAAACATCAATAAAAAAAGAAATTTTTCCAAATGTCTATAAAATGCTTCAAGTAGCACTTACTTTACCTGTCAGCTCTTCAACTTGCGAGCGATCTTTTTCGGCTATGCGAAGAATAAAGACGTGGGTGAGAACTTCTATGTATCAAGAACGTTTTACAAATTTGTCTATTCTACATATAGAGAAAGATGTAACAAAAATATGGATACTGAATGTATTTTAAATGAATTTTCTAAATCCTCAAGGATGATGGTTTTAAAATAAAACATTTAAGACAAATATTTTATAGTCCCTATTTATTTTCTACAGTAACTAAACTATATTATTATTTGTTATGTAAGATTATATTATATTAAATTTTAAATATAAAAAAAAGTAATTAGACATCCATTTTATTCAAAATATTTCGTTCAGTTGTTCAGTAAAATTATTTCAATGTTAAATTAGCATAGCCCCCACCCCCACGCCCTTGATTCATAAGAAAAATCGTAGCCCCCCCAAATTTTTATCCGCCAATGCTATGTTACAATCACAGTTGATTATTTTCATCTTATTTGGCATTTCTGTTGTATCGAAAATATTTTTTTAAATGTCAAGTCTTTTGCTTAATAAATTTTTATTAATTGCATTTGTTTTGGATATAGTAATTGCTAACTCAATTCCAGGAATATTTTCAAAATCTACAACTTGCTCACGTAACTTGCTGCTAACACAGAAAGCGACTGCCATTAATTGCACTATTGAGTCAAAGCCACAGGTATTTGATAAGTTGTATGTGTCGCCATTTTCCTTCCTTTGACTACCACAGCCACTAATTATAATTCCACCATTTGGAAGCAAACCAAGTTTTGACGGAGAAGACATTTGATCCAATGGAATTGTTAACCACTCCGAGTCCGGATTCAAATATTTACTTCTTTTCTTTTTAGATGGTAACTGAGGCAATGATGATGATGGATTTTCAATGAGTGTACATACATCAACTGTAGTTTGAGATAATGATTGCTCTTGGATAATATTATCAATATTTATATTATTATTCATGGTTAAGCCTACATCGTTTATTTGATTATTATTAGGTAAGTTTAGTGAAGAGTCGTTATCAGATATCAATGTTTTTGACAACTGGTCTTTTTGTGATCTCTCTGTTTTCTTCTTCAATTTAACTTTGCCACCCCAGTTCTCACATTCATTTAAGTCATCCACAAAACAAGAAATATCGGTAGAAATTGAAATTTCATCCTCAGATGTAACATTCTTTAGCGTTGTTTCTACGATATCGTCAATTCCCAAAGGATTATGGAAATACCTCAAACCTGATGCCAGTTTCATTGAACCTGTTGAAAGTCCCCAAAAATTTAAAAAAAAATAATAATTATTAATATTAATGTAAATATTAACATTATTATAATTCAAAACTTCATAACTTAATATCATAATAATAATATTTAATATGCCACTTGTGAGATTATAGGCTTTTGACTTCCTATAAACCACCCACGATGCAAGGGGAGGACTTACATCGTGACCTGCAAGCCGCACCGCGGACAATCCTAGTTAATATGTTATTGTTATGTAATATTTCATTATTTACCACCAAGCTTTCTAGCACCCATTTTTGAATCATTACATCACATAATTTACAGCTTCTACTATATTATATATCTACATATTATATTTAACAACTATAATTACATTTTAATTATAATTCTATATAAATTATAAATAAATTATATTAAACAATACAACTTACCTTCTAGGTATGGTGTGGTATTTTATGAAGTCATCAACTCTTATATTTGATTTTATACCCGAATAATGTTTTATTTGATTGATATGACTCTCTACTGAAGCAGAAGATGCGGTTAAATTTCCATACTCAAATGATTTAGATATAATAGAAGTCCATAACGGTAACCTATAAACATTATTACAATTGAGCGATAACAACCATCAAGATATTAATGCCAAAATACAATTTAAATCTCTGGTATTATATTGTTTTGTTAGTACTTACCTAACTAGTAACTTTCATAAAAAAATAAATAATATATTTTAATATTTTAAAATATTTAAGAATATTTTTTTTAAATATAAGAGTAGTATCTAAAATACAAATTTTAAAAATATTATAATATATTATTATTGAACGATCCCACCATGTTAATAACTTAAATTGACTTACTTGTAACAAAGAATTTTAAAGGGCATCATAAGTGCAGGAAGATACATCAAATTATCTCGGGATCCATTTACTTCCACTAGATTGTTGGCATCCATAACTATATTGTTTATCCACTTTTTAATTTCAAGTGGATAATCATCTTCTTGATTATCAGTATATTCTTTTTCTAATGAATATTCAGTTGGCTGATAGTCCATCGCACTTTCAACTATAGACTGCTCGACTCCATTAGCAAATCGTGTTACAAAGAATTGTTTTGCTTTTTCACAATGGGTATCAATTCCATTTATTTCACCTTCATATTCTGACAGCATTACAACTAAAAAATATTTTTTATCAAAAATTTAGATTCATTTAAATCTGTAGCCAGCACTAATTGATCAATAGCTCTAACGTAAAACTCTTTTACGCGTCGTCGTACATGTATATCATTTAATGATTTCCATGTAGTTACAAATTTCAATAAATGTGCGACATCAACACGAGCATAACATGATGGCAATTTACATCCTGGACTTTTAATTAATACTTCCATGCACCTTTGAATATATGTGGAAGATCCTTCAGCACATCCAGCTAGTGATATACAAACTGAGTTTATAAGTGCCATTGAAAAATCTGTGACTACTTCTTTTGGTAATAAAGCACCATTTCGCTGCCACTCTAATAACCAGAAGCATATAGTATTTGTGTTATGAGATTCTGATAAAATTTGACACACTGATATTTGACCTTCATTCTCATTTGGTAATTTAATAACAATAAGGTAAATAAAAATGTACTTTGATAAATTAGATGGTCGACTGATTTTTTTAACTACATCGCCGGTAGCATCTATACATATTTTTGCTGCTGGTTCTTTCTTTACAAATGAATTATATACCCTCAACTGATCTGGTGTCCAATAATGTAATACAAACGGCTGAAAGCTTAAATGATGTATAATATTCTGCCAAGGATTACAATTTTGCATGATATTTAACGATATTATTTCCTGAGAGTCATGCCGGTCTTTACAATTTTTTTCAGATTTTACTTTTCTTATGGTTTCAAGACGCGGAAGTAATGCGCTTTCTGGATCAAAAATTTTTACATAATAGCTTAGCTTCATCTTTCCGAAAACGAGTTGATGTTCTATTGGTTTCTAAAAGATAATTCGACACTTCTCTACGTTTTCCGCCAAAACGTCTTTTTTTTAAATGGGGCACTTTATAGTTTCCATCAATATTTAACGTTATATTTAAACCTGCTCTGATGGATTAGGTAGATTTTTATGTCTTAAAACTTCTCCAGTCATTCTAACTCCACATTCACTATCCGTACAAGTAGCAGAAAAAACAAAAAAATTTCAGACGATTCAGAAGTAGTAACTTCATGTGACTTAAAAGACCAAGCACAGTTAATGGAATGAGTATCGTAAATTATATCTGAAATAACGTTAGTCCATACACCAGGTTTTAGTTTATTTTTTAATCCATCATCTCTTTGAATTTCATTCCACAATTTAGCTGATACATAAATAGTTAAAATTCTTATTGTATTTTCATCATTACATTCATCATGCTCACTGTTAAATAGTTGTTCATCAGAAATAATATTATCTTGCTCAATAGGTATAAAAAACATTTTATGCTGTTTTGATCCGGATTCAAAAAACTTATCATAATCTGGAGAGTATTTGAAAATCCGTGTCCACAAAGCTTTTGGCGTAATATTCCAATTATATTTGGTGATCAAATGTTCCCATATAATATTACTACTTTTTATCAGAATGTTATTTTGTATAATTTGCTCTTTATAGGAAATGAGCTCTCGACTTATATTCTCTGTCGAAATTCTTGTTTTTCTACCTCGTTTCATTGTTAGTATTTTCCAGCTTAAAAATATATTTAATTTAGCAAATTAGTATTTAATTGTATAAATGTATTCTTTATAACATTATGTTTTTTTGTGGCTGTCATCACCATTTGTGGTAGTAAACATGATTAATTTTTTTTAACTCAACATATTTTATGGTTAGAAAGACAGTGAATCTAGTTGGTTTAATCTATATGGTTTAGGAGCAAGAATTCATTAAATCGTTAATGATTTTAAGTTCTTAACAGAAGTAAATTTCTCCAAAGAAAAAACTCAGTATTGATCCTATAATAATGTCTTGTTTTTTATCAGGGTTTTATCTTTACTATGCGGTTAATATTAATTATATTATTATTTTGTATATTTTTATATTTATGCAACTTGATATTAAAGCTCCTATTATTTAGTATTGAGTTTTGAGAGGTGACTAGGTAATTAGGTATTTTATTATTATTACCTATAGTATAAATGTATAATAAATTATATTTTTGATAAAATGTACAAGAGCCGCACTCTAACATTATTGAAAAACAGTAGTATACCTAGTACCTACGTACAGTGTTAATTATTTTGACAAAAATTAAAAACATGATGTATTCAGACTTTTATCTTAATTTTATAGAAGTAAACAACATTAAATATGTAGGTAGGTACGTCAGAAACCAATGTCAGTTCTGAATAAAAACAAAAATTAAATTTTATCTTGAACTGCCGGACAAGAACTTAATTTAATTAATATTAATAACGATTTGAACATCTGCTTTGATGCACCTGATCTTCTAAATGTGAAGGGTTTTTTAAATAATTAATTACTTATAAGAAATTATTAATACCTTAATTAGAAAATCATCTATACAATTCTTAATGTCTTAAGCTTAACCTAGGATTAATCTGGTAAGGTCTAAAATACTCAACCAAATATTTAGGTACTTTAAAATAAAATAAAATATTTTTAAGTAGTACCTACCTATATAACTTTAATAATGTTTCATTCTGGTATTAAGAAAACAAATGTTATTTTTATTATTATAATTTTTATTTTTTTAGTTAGATATTTCTGATTTTATAATTTTATAATAACTAATGATGTTCCAAATACATAATTGTACAAAGTCTAGTGGCTACTGTAGTCATTCCTGAAGAATCTCAAATATGTACCAAAAAAAGAAGCAGATGGAACCAGAATTCTCTTGAAACCTTGTGTCACTTCAAACAAAGCCAAAACTCAGGCTTGCCATGTTCCAAAAACAATAAGACCTAGAGCAGTCGGCAATAATTATCATTTAAAAAAACCACAATAAATTGGAATATGCCAGAAGTTCTTTACTTCAACTTTATGTATATGTAATGGGCCTATCAATATAGATTTGGTAGGCGTATCAGAAGATGTATTGTTCGCAAATCAAGATAAAAGAGGTTGTCTTCCTTCTATAAATAAAACAAGTAATGAAAATATAAATGTGATTAAATTACATATTGAAAGTTTCCAAAAATCGAAAGCCATTATACAAGAAAATCAACCAAAAGACTTTATTTAGATAAAAAGTTATTAATTTCAAAAATGTATGAACTATTTGTTGAAAAGTTCATTTTAGAATATCCAGGAAGTATAGCGCCTTCTTTAAGTGTTTATAGAAATATATTTTGTACAGGTTATAGTTTTTTTATTTTTCAAGCCAAAAAAAGATCAATGTGCATCTTGCAACAAATTTAAAAGCGCTACTTTGGAGGGTAAATCTTTTTTGAAAGAAGATTACAACCAATATATAGAACGAATACAGCATACATTGCAAAAGATATTGACAATACATTGGGTCAAATATCTACAAACTATAATTTCGTAGCCTCTTTCTACTTGCAATATACATTACAAATTGCATATCAAATAAACTGTGAACTATCCAAGCTATACTCAAAGCAACAACCTATAAGTATTGAAAAGAACCTTATACATTTGGGGAATGGTAAATTCCTACAAATGTAGGTAATCTCCTCATAGACATAGTGTTAACTGCTACAAAATATAGTGTTAACTCCTACAAACGATGGTAAACTAATAGGTGGTAAGTTTTTAAAAAAAGTCAAATTAATTTTTAAAAAGGCGGACAAGTTATGATTTTTAATTATTACATTATACTTATAATTTAAGAAATAATAACATTATTAAAAAATAAATAGAGTTTTAGTATCATAATTACCTATGATTAAGAATGTAATAAACATTTTTATTTGATGAAGTTACATATAGCATATTTATAATTAGGTAATTACAATCATATTATTAACTTAATATTGTTTCATTTTGAATTTTAGAAAAAAGAAGTAGTTTCCAATTTCTATGATAATTATATGAAAAAATGTATTTGTATCTATTAAACTTTATGCACAATATAGTAAATAATAATATATTATTCTTATTACATATTTAATAAACAAATGTAATTTAATATACAAGGATTAGATATCCTTCTAATAATGATAATATTGTGATATTTAATTTTATAAATATGTTTTTATTCGTTTAACTTAGAACTATGATAATATTCTAATTATCTATGATGTGATGATTTTATTTGTATCTGTTAAACTTTTTGATTATTATATTGTTATTACCTACATATTTCATTAGCCAATGTTATTTGGTGTAAAAGGATAAGATATTCTTCTTATAATGGTATTGTGATATTTAATTTTATAATCATGGTTTTTTATTAAAAAATGAATTCAAAAATGTTATTTTATATTTTATAAACATAAAAGATATTAGGAGGTAATATATTATACTTAATATGCTATTATGTTATAAATTCAACAAATTTGTCTTATAAATTTATTATAATATGAAAATTTATTTATCTATATCAAATTAGATAACATTAATTTATGCAAAAACGAATAACACAAACATGTAGGTACTAATATTTTTTTTTTCCAGAATAGTATGTTTCCATATTATTTTCTAAATAATTCTTCAAAATTGAAAAACATATTGTATAAAACAAAAAAGGGTAATATATTTTTGTATCGTAAAAAAAAAAAAATAAACAAAATTTAATAACAATAGGTACAAAATTTTATAATGTTATGGTCAGAAAAAACATAATTAAATTATTTAAAACGCCATTTACCAACAATTGCTGTTTTATTGTTTATGAGTTTTTGTTCTAAGTCTATATTATAATATACCTACTTACAAATTACACAATGGTATTTTCAAAACTTATAGACTGATTCTACCTCTATATTAAGGTGTTATTAGCTTAACATTTAATAATAGCAATATTAATATGATATTATGATATAATTAATATACACTATTATAATAATTTAATATCATTCATTAAAAATTAATTAAATCAACCTACCGTAATAGCGTAAGACTAATATATTAAAATAAATTACTTTAATTATTGGAATATATAAAAATATTTATTTTATATTTTAATTTAGACTTTATAAGCAGTATAAGTGTTTTATTTAAATGGAAATTTGTCAAAAAACTTGAATATTTAAATGACATACACCATTATTTAAAATTATTATGTGTAATTTATAATTTCAATTTGTGTGAAAAAAACGGCTATGGAGATAACTCTGGTTTGGAGGGTGCACTAATTTTAATTTTTGTACGTCCGTAAAGCACTAATTGAGCACTAAAATTTGGCTTTATAGCGGGAATTAGTGCTTTTGATGATCCCGCCAAGTTGAAAAACGGCGATGGCGATAACTCTGGTTTGGAGGGAGCACAAATTTTAATTTTTGTACGTCCGCAAAGCACTAATTGAGCACTAAAATTTGGCGGTATAGCGGGAATTAGTGCTTTCGACGATCCCGCTGCGTGAAGTTGGCGGGAGGTTTTTAGAATCGTGGATAATCGATAGTAGGATGAAGCACTAATTTTAATTTTTGTACGTCCGTAAAGCACTAATTGAGCACTAAAATTTAGCGGTATAGCGGGAATTCATGATCCCGCTAACTTCACGAACCTAAAAAAAAACTGTGCCTATGTATTTTTATTATTTTTCAACTGATATTGTAACAATACATCAGGAGCCTTGTATTAAATTTTTACACTTTTTGGCCCAACAGATAAAACTTTATTGATATTTATAGAAAAAAAAACTAAAAAAAATTGAAAGCTGTAAATGTCCATAAACAGCTCAAAAAGAGTCAACATATTTGGTTGTAAAATGTTGTAAAAATTTGAATTCCAAAAGCTCATAAAAATTTAATTTGACTTTCTTATAGACATTTTTTTTTTGATAATCTTATAAGGAATCTTCTATTACATTTTCATATCTTAGATTTAAAAAGAAAAATTTTTACGAATTCTTAACTGATAATAATTTGCTTATTTTCGTGTATTTTCCATATTTTGTCAATTTTTGAACTTTAAATGCTTATAAAAAAAAATTGTGACAAAGGATTTTTAATATTTTTCATCTGCCTGTGAAACAATATATGAGGAGCCTTCTATTAAATTTTCAAGCTTTCGCAACCAACAAATAAAATTTTATTGATATTTTTAGAAAAAAAACTAAAAAAAAATGGAAAATTAAAATGTCCCCAAACAGTTCAAAATAAACCAAAATATTTTGAAAATGTTATCGTGTATAGAAAATGCAAATATAAACAACCAGTATACATTTCATGTATATACGTTCATTTGTTTTAGAGTTACACCAAAAACCAAAATCGATTTTTGGAAAACCGATTTTGCGTAAAAATTCCTGTTTTCCCTTAATTTTTATGTTGTTTTTCCCGGCGCTTGTGAAAACTACTGGGAAATTTTTACTTTTTACCCCCCCCCCAAAGTACCAACTAGATTCACTTTCTTATCAGAAAAGCTACTAATGAAGATTTGCTTGATAATTTTCTAAACGTTTTTGCTTGTCTACCACGTACAAATCTATCAAATTCTGTAATTGACGAAGTCGGTACAAATTTACATACGACAAGGTAATGTATTCCTCGTTTAGATTTAGTTTAATTTAACTCAGTTTAACATTGATTGAATATGAAAAGGAATCGGTAATCTTAACACGTCTTACCCTGGTATTTAAATGATTAATAATTGAATTGAAATTAGATTCAGACATCAGTGTAAACCATTCTTCTAAACTTAATGTAATAATTTTCTTTGAAAGTTTACATTCCAATAATAAAATAATTGAAATCTGCTTGTTAATTAGTAATCCAACTGTAATACTTTTCTTGTTAAAAGCCCGGATGTCAAATGTAGACTTACTAACAATTATTGGTGGACTCATAGTGAAGTTATTTTTGTTAAATTGATTTTAAAAAATCTTTTGTATAAATAAAAGTAGGATATAACTGTTAGGAGTTATACATTGAACTACTAGTTTTTTCAGTTTCAGTCATATTATATACTAAAAACTCTGATAAAAAAATGCAAAAAAAATTGTGATAGTATAGATGATCGATTAGTACATACTAGAGGGGAAATTATACATACTTCTAACCTATTACCTGAAAAACATTTTTAATTATTTTATACGTACTAACCGATCACGCCCACGGAATATTAAATCGAATAACAACACATTTAGATAAAACATTCAATTTATTTTTTTTTAACCAATACAGCAAATATTATATATATATATTATATATATTACGTATAAAAAACATGATTTAACAAATGGTGTCGTAACCAGTTTCACAATTACAAATAACTTCGGTTTTACAATATTTACTTAAGACTTTTTGGACAAACTGATTTCCTTTCATTAATTATACAAATAAACATCGAGGTGAGAATCGAGTATGTTCTATAAAACAATTATCGTCGATTTCAAAACTATTCAGAATTACTCCACACCAATGGCATTTAACTGCATCATCGAGATTGATATAGTAAAATCCACATTCCGATAGCTTGTACTTATTCCGACCGGTATTTGAAGGAAAACTTTTAAAAGATCGTAACCTATATACAAATATAGAGAATTCTGGATATGCTGGCGTTGAATTGAATCGTATTTGATCGACCAATGACTGGATATCGTTTGTGCATTTTTGAAAATTCATTTTTGAAGAAATTAAATAACTTATACAATTTAATAAAACTTTGAGAAAATAAAGAAAAATGAGACACGACTTGAGTGAACGACGGATCATTAGTAACTGAATATGAAAAAAATAATCAGCTTATAACTTAAAATTATTGTAAATTTGTTTATGAATTTGATAAATAATAAATAATTTTTTTATCATTGTTAAAAAAACAGTGTAACCAACATGAGTAAAAATGAAATACAGTACATTTTTTGCGAGGTAAAATTTTATAAACAATCAGTGTGAAATCTCTGTATTGTGTTACGCGGTAAATCGAAGTGCTTCAAGTGCCCCACTTGAACTTTTTTTTTACCGTGGAAAAAGCTGGCTGTGAACATAAAAATATATACTACTATACTCTATTCAGAATAAGAATTTCCACTTTTGCGCATGCAACTGAGCCGCCGACAGCCGTCGGACCCCCATGGCGAGTGGCGGCCGCGCTGTGATTGGTCACCAGTTGTCGACGGCTGCCGTCACCCGTCGCTATCGACAGCCGCCGCCGTGCATACAGTTGATAATAATAACTATTTACAAAATCGTAATAATTATTACTTATAATTATGTTATAATGTATATTTTTTTCTTGTAGCGAGCTGTGACTATTTCTTAAATAACTATTTAACAATATAAATCTCATTGTAATATTATGTACGTACTCATATAATAGACGCGCCTCGTAAATATAATATAATAGTAATACGCGAGCGTTGCTCGCGTAAAAGTCAATAATAGTAATAATAATAATATCGCTGACACCATGTATACAGTACGTGTGTAGTGGAGCGACGACATCATATGTACAGCGCGAAGATAATAATATCGAACGCATGACCATGAACGGCGCGCGGCAATAGATATATGACTACGTATATAAATAATTCTAAAATACTGTGAACTAGGATTTGTGCTGTTATACTAAATGACAAGATGTTATCTGATGACATCCGGCGCGTGCAACGACGACCGGGTGACAAATCCCACAATAGGCCTAACCTCAGGATGACCAGGTATGGTCATGTGAATCTGTGGAAGGGACTGGAGAGACCCATCGAGTAAAGCTGATGGACAAGCGTTCATCAGACGAACAACCAGCTTCAACTTGAACAGTCACTAAATACTCATAGTCACAACTCGCTTAAGTCAATAAACATAATTATTTGGACTTAGAATATTTTCCATTACACTGTTTACATTAAATAAATATAATAAATATCATCAAAGAGGTTTTGTTCAATTATTACTTCCATTTCTACGAGTAACGCGGAGTAGCACGTTACATTCTTTACCATGTTTCTTGTACTTTTACCTTATTGTTAAAACCTAACACAATGCCTAAGTAAACAGATCATGTCATGATCGACACCAGAAGGAAACACTGCATAACGGATGTTAAAGCTGTAGAGGCGTATGCGGGATATCAGACCATTTTCTAGTATGAATCCAAGTACACCTCAGATTGTCGGTACAGTGGAGAGAAAAGAAAAGAGTTACCCAGAAATTCAACGTTGAGAAATTAAAAGAAAACACAAATCTTCAGAACTACATAGAAACAATAGAAAAAAATTTAAAAAACGACAACAACACTGAGCTTGATCAATTGTGGGAGAAACTAGAAAAACAATCAAACAAGCAGCGAAAGATGTACTAGGATTGAGGAGAGAAGAAAACCTAAATGTGGTTCAACGACAGATGTAGAAGAGCTGTTGAAGAACGAGATGCTACCAGAATGGCTCTAATAAAAAACCCCAACGAGTCCAACCGAAGAACCTTAGCAACCAAACAACGGGAAACTAAGAAGATAATAAGAAACGAAAAATAGCAATGGGAAAAGAGCTACATCAACGACATAGAGACTAACTTTAAAAGGAACATCAAAGTCTCATACAAAAAAATGAATAACATAAAAAATGGATACAAACCAAGAACGACCATCCTAAAGAACCAAACTGAACATTGATTACAGATAAAACCGGAATAGCTGAAAAATTCAGAGAAATGTTTGAGACGATACTACTTAGAACAAGACAAACAGAACCGGTAGATCACTATATGACGACAGTGGAGCAAATGATACATGAACCAACAACGGAAGAAATAAAAATGGCAATTGATATACTAAAAAACGGTAAAGCACCCGGAGAAGATGATATAACAACGGAGTAACTAAGAAAGAGTGGGAAAGCTGTAATGGAAAAATTAGAACAAATTATTACAAAAGCATGGAGCGAAGAAAAAATACCCGAAGCCTGGAATTTGTCGATCCTATGCCCTATCTACAAAAAAGGGGATATAATGAACTGCGACAATTATAGAGGCATCTCGCTTCTAGATACATAGTACAAAGTTCTATCAAATGTTCTCCTTAATAAACTCAAGCTATATGGAGATGAAATAGTCGGGGAATACCAAGGAGGCTTCAGAAGGGGAAAATCAACGGTGGATCAGATACATATCGTCAAACAAGTAAAGGAAAAATGTTACGAATATAACCAGGATCTATTCATGCTATTTGTAGATTATAAACAGGCATATGACTCTATTAAACGGGAAAGTTTATGGAAAGCCATGGAAGAGCTTGGGGTACCAGCAATAATCACAAAAATGATGTGTTCAAAGCATGTGTTCCAAACTCTAAATTTGAGGGTCTGTTGATTGTTTAATAGATAATACCTGTTCGAATGTATTTGCTTCCAATATTAATATGTTTTGCACTCTACTTAATGCATCTACATGACACATTTGTTTATTAGGGCGATGTACTACTTTATAATCATAACTTTGAAGAAATAATGCCCAACGCATTATACGAGGACAAATATCCTTTTTATTTAGTGTAAGTCTAAGACTATCACAATCAGTTACAATTGTAAAAGGCATACCTTGTAAATAAATATGAAATCTTTTAAGAGCATAAATTATTGCCAAACACTCTAGCTCATAGCTGTGATATCTTGTTTCACACTCAGTGGTGCGTTTACTAAAATAAAATACTGGATGGAAGGTATTGTCATGTTTCTGTTTCTGAACCAAAACTGAACCGAATCCTAATTGGCTAGCATCACAGTGTAATTCTGTTTCTAATAATGGTGAATAAAGACACAGAACTGGTGGAGATGTTAAAAATGATTTGATTTTTTCAAATGTTGACAATTGATCCTCCCCAAAAACAAAGTCTTGATTTTTTTTTAATAAATCATATAAGGGTTTAGCAATAATAGAAAAATTTTTAACGAACCGCCTGAAGTAACTGGCTAGCCCTAAAAAACTATGAACTTCTTTTACATTTTTAGGTATAGGAAAACTATGTATAGCATCAACATTATCTGGATTAGGTGTGATACCTTTATGACTAATCTCATAGCCTAAATAATGAATTTTAGTCTGTAAAAACGAACATTTGTCTAATCTTAATTGAAGGTGATTTTCAGTCATAATATCAAATACTTCAATTAATATGCTAATATTCTCATCTATTGTTTCAGTACTTATAAGAATATCATCCAAATAGATCAAAATTTTATTAGAATTGACCAAAGAATAAAAAATATTATTAATATAACGCATAAATATTGCAGGGCTGTTACAAAATCCAAAAGGCATACAAGTATATTCGAATTGACCCATAGGAGTTACAAATGATAAATACTTAACAGAGTCATTGTGTACTTTAACATGATAAAAAGCATTTTTTAAGTCTAATCTAGTAAAATATTTTTTATCTTTTAACATATCAAGGTGGTCATCAATTAATGGTAATGGAAATCTATCTTTAATTGTTACTTTATTTAATTCCCTGAAGTCTACACAGAGTCTAAGGTTACCATTTTTCTTTTTAACTAGTACAATAGGAGAACAATACGGAGAAAAACTAGGTCTTATGATTTTATTTGTTAATAATTCATCAATTATTACTTTAAGTTTTTCTTTATCACTATAAGACATTCGCCTAGGTTGAAAATAAATAGGTGTGTGATCTTTAGTTAACTTTACCTCCATTTCATATTGAAATTTTTTCTCTATAGGCCTTACTGCATTAGTATAATGTTTATCAAATATTACTTTAACCTGTTCTTGCATATCAGCACATAAGTCACTATTAATATCTAATTGTAATGAATTTGACACACCAGTATCAATTAACATGATATCATCAACAATAAATTCATTATAAGAATCATTTTTTTCAATGAACAAGTTTTTATCAAATGTTAATTTGATTAAATTGTTATTAACAAAATTTCTTCCTAACAAACAATTATAATTCATAGTATTATTATCAACAACATAAAATATGATATTTAAATCTACTGGTAAATTGTTTACAGATACTTTTGTATTAATAACACCTAATACTTTTAATGGACTTTTATTAATACCAGAAAGTTTAGAACTAGGAGGGATAACAATTACATCTTTAGGAACAGCATTTTCCTTAATAATAGAAATTGGACTACCTGTATCAATCAGCGCATCTGTGGTCCAACGAGTTGTCTCACACATGACATCAATACCAAGCATAAACGGTGGATTACTTGCCTCATCGATTTCAATCATCATTGTTGAGTCCTCGCTGGTGCCTCGACTTGTTTTGTTAATTTTCATCTTACAATCTCGTTGTTGATGTTCTGTAGATCCACACTTGAAGCATGACCCCGGCTTCCGTTTAGGTTCTGGACAATTAATAATAGTATGTGCAGTACTATAGCAATTAAAACAACGTTTGATTAAGGTTTGCTTCGGTTCTAGACTTGAGTTATTTTTTTCATTTTTTTGAGCACTAGCTTTAATGAATAAATTTGAATTGCTTGAGGAGGTTTGTTTATTTGAGCCATAAAGGGTTGTACGCATTTTATATAATCTTTCATAAGTTAAAATATCGTCAAACATACCATCAGTTTCTGTATGATGTTTTGATAATAAATATGTAACCATACTTTGTGAATAAAACCCTTCCAATAATTGTGTTTTTGTCTCTTCAAATGACAAACATAATTCACTGCACAAACGTACTTTATCATAAAAGTAATCTATAGTTGCTTCATTCTTCGATTGCGTCCTAGCGACCAATATGGCACACATTTGGCGACCAATGTGTGCCATAGCTCTGTACGATTTGGAATACCAATGAATGTTCGCGTAAATTGTTGCTCAAAATTTTCCCAAGAGCTGAACCGACGACTTTTAAACCATTGCTGAGCTGGACCATTCAAATTTGCACGAATTGACTCAATTTTTAATGCATCGGACCATTTGTTAATTTCGGCCATTCCAATAAAAGTTTTGAGCCAATCCTTTGCTTCCGAGCCGGATTCGCGACCCGTAAACGACTTAACACTTTTGTTCAAATCCGGCATGACATAAAACGAATTACTTTGTTCATTATTCGTCTTTGAATTCGAAACAGAGAGTTGTTGCATAAGCATACGATTTTGTTCCATCAGTAATTGAAACATTGCGTTCAAGTCAGGAGTTGCATTCTGATTGGAACCTTCGCCACTCGCGGGTGGTGTAACAATTGCAGGTGTTAGGGCAGCTTCGTGAGCACCGTCGCCATTGACAGCGACATCGTGGTCGTGCATGTGCGCGGCTCCGCGGTTTTCATCCGGTTGAATCGAGTTAATCCCACTTCTGAAGTTGTAGGCGGTGTTACTCTTACGCCGAACCATCATCAATCAACATAACATAAGTTAAAATATATAATTCATAAAACAACAACAAAGAAAATAACGCTCATAAGTGTTTATTACTGTTTAACCTTAACGTACATAATATTTTAAAAGCGAGACTAGTGAGAGACGTAACGGACTACACGCACACACACACAACAGTGCGGCGTCGGAGGTGGTAGGATGGTGGTATTGCCAACCTCACCCTACAATAATGGTATTACATTTGAATATAGAAATTTGAGGACAGAGCGATAAGCGTCTGCCCGAGAGATTAGTGGTTAATACTAAGTACTTACAAGTATGTACATCGTACTAGCACTGCGCTAATTCTAATTTAGATACAGACGGAGACTCGTACATATACAAAGTCTCCCTAGGTTATTAGGTACACGGTAGAGACTCGGAGGTGGATCAAAGGAATACCGGCGGTTTGAAAAGTACCGGCGTAAATGTTAAAGTTGTCGAATAAACCTTGAGTTGCGAACTGGTTTATTTGGCAATATGTATTATTAGAAATCGTTATGCGATTTCCAATGGTGTTCTTGAAGTATGTAATAAACCTCAGGGCGTGTTATAGTTGTTGATCAATATATCATATAGCGCAAAGTCCTTATGATGTATAATTATAGGAAAGCGACTCTGTCGGTTTTAATTGAAGTTAAACTGTCTTGTACTTGTATAGCTTATTGGGCTATTCCTAGGCGTAAGAGGATATTCGACTATGTCGACTGCTCTAGGTGCTGTAGCTAAACTTTCACTTTCTTCATCTTGGTTTGGTTCCTCTTCCGTGTTTATTTTTTCGTAACATTTTAATTTATTGTATTTGGATAAACATATAATGATAATTGCCATAAAAGTGATACTTGTGATTACGTAAAGTACGTAGTCGTTTACTTGCTGTGTATTCTTTAGTTCGTTTATCTTGTGATCAACCTTGCGTTGTGTTTCTAGTTGTTTCTTTGAACCTGACACGGTATGTAAGTCATCCATGTTATTTGTTTTTACATGGTAGTCTTCCATCAAGTTATTGTTGTCGGTGTACGGCATATCATTGATACGTTCTATAGTTGACTTCGGGTTGAAATCCATATATTCAGATTTGTGGTTGACTTTTCCTGGTATAAGTACGTCTCTTGCGGCGTATCCTTTGCAAGTTTCGTTGAATCGCAAAATGCCTACTCCCCTTAGTGTGTGACTTGTGGATTCCTTGTCTTCGTCGCATGTAATAAATACTACATCATAATTAGTAACGTTTATCCACTCGTTCTTGAATCGTTTCTTGTGGAATATGGATGTTCCGATTTGAACGTGCATTACTTCATAAGTTGATGGAACTTTTATTGGATCCTGCAAAAATTGTACTTCACATGCTGGTCTACTTGTAGGCGGGTATAAAGGATTACCTTCAGGACATAAAAGGAAGTCTCTAGCGTGCTTACAATGTGTATAGTAAAATTCATCATACATGGCATAGTGTTCTTTAGTTTTACTTATAGCTAGATACTTATTACTAGGTTTAACATAGAGACAATCATTTCCAGTACAAACTTTTACAGATATTAAGTTATATAAAATAAAATCATTTTGATAGATTAATGGTAAAGTTAGTATAAAAACTAGGTTGTCATTGACATAGTATATAGCTAGGTCTGAGAGCTTTACCAATTCATAGATATTTTGTATATCTAGATCAGTGGGTAAGTCGGTGCCCCCAGGTAATGATACTTTAATGTCTTTTATGTGCTCTAAAAGGTCCCGTGGAGATATTAAGCTGGTATGGATAATTCCTAATTTCGCTTGTTGTATTATTTCTAATAAAGTATTGGTTTCTACTATATGCTTCATTATTAATAAATTTATAATTAGAAAATGTTTCGTTACATAATTTTTTGTTTGTTGGTCCCTAGACACGTTACTATTTTCGTTTATTAAAAAGGTCATATTATAGTTTTCGTGTTCATCAAATTTGTTTTGTAACTTAACTATTTTTATTTGTTCTTTAACTAATTTCGTTTGAGGCGCGTTATGTGTTTGTTCTATATTGAAATTAAATTTTCTAATGCATTCCAGATTACATATTCCGTATATTAATCTGGCTGCTTTTGTTAACATTCCTAATGTACTTCTTTTAGATACTGTGTGTTCTATAGAGTCTAATACTAGTTCCTTCTTTTTTCGTAAATCGTTTACTATACTACTAGCTGTTTGCATTAAATTGTTACAATTGGTATCAACATTGTTTTTGATACTTTCACATATTATTTCGGTTTTCTTCATAACATCGTCAATATAAATAAATCTTTCTTTGTATTTAGCAAAATTAATATACGCGGTTAAGTCCCATTGAGATGTGATAAGTTTCAATGGTCCCCGATTTTCGTAGTATAGACCGGAATGTTGTGTTAATTGTTCGTCAGTGTATCGAAATCTTCCCGACGTGAATGGTATAGTTAGTAGTATAAGTCTGAAAACCGGTTCAGCTTATTAGTCAAGGTAATTTAATGTAGGTAAATGTATTAGATTTAAAATTAACCTATTTCTATATATATATAAGTGCAAATTAAAATAATAATATGAATAATCTTATTCCCAAATAGAAAAAATGCATAATTGCTACAATAAAAAAAATTATAATCGTAAAATAATAAAATAATAATATTCCGTCACCCTATATAATGTTTACTTTTTAAGTAACAATAATAATGTAATAATAATAAATTTGTACTTTGACATCCGATTGTGTTTTTGATTAAATCGTGGAATTCTAATTGTAATTTACGGAATAAACAACGGGTCCATAGAACGTCTGTTCTAGGATCGTGAGCTTCGGAAAACCCGTGGGTTTTTTTTACATAAGAGCTCATGAGCTTCGCTCAGTTTTAAAGCGCGTCCCTGTTTTACAAACATTCCTATTTTAAGGGAACAGATGGATTGCTTCGTAAGCATATCCGTTAGTTGTAAATCGAAGTTTCCGTTGTTGTTTGTGTCCCACCCACGCATTGTCAATGCTCGACAACGTATGTGGAGAGCGTTCAGAATTTTAATGTCAGTAGAACCTTCCCACAGAATTATAGAGTTATACTTGTTGAGTATTTTTTGTATGGTGGTACGAGTTAAGTTCGGACGCGAAGTATGGTCGGAGTCATAGATTTGCGCAAGTATAGGGAATAGCTCTTTTGGTTTTTCCTTAAAAATGTTCACAAGGTGGTGTACCATAGCTTTCCATTCTCTGGTAGTTACTGGTTCATTGGTTCTGAGTTTGAGTGAGCGTCCTTCGAATTTTGTAACTAATGGTTCATAATGACCACATACGCGCCAGATATTAAGATTAAATTTTCTTTTCCTAATTGTGTGAATTCAAAATCTACGACCGCGAACTCAGGTGGTTCACTAAAAACAAAACATATATATACATATGTATTGGACATCACATATATTATATAGGGTTGTAAATTTGAAATATTTCAAAATTGAAAATTTCACTCTTCTTGAAATATTTCAATGAAATTATGAAAAATATTTATTTTTTCTTTTAAACGTGTTTATAGATGATTAGAAATAATATATTGATAAAATACAGAAAACATTGATTATGAATAACTTATCAGTTAGGTATCATTTATCAACCAAGGTATACGAATTAAAAACCTTACCTAAATACTGTTAATGGTCAATGGTTATAAATTATGTTGTGAAAATTTCAGTAAAAAGAGTTCTATTCTTAAATATTGTGATAAAATGAATGCCAATGAAAAGAAAAATATTGATGTTCTTTTGGCCCGTGCAGTTTATGCTACAGCAGCTCCATTAAGTTTAGTGGATAACTATTATTGGACAGAATTTTTCAAAGCACTTCGGCCAGCATATAAACCGCCTACTAGACATTTGGTTTCAAATAAACTTCTAGACGATGAATTCTCCAAAGTTAAAGAGCATACCACAATTTGTATTGCTGATTCGGATGCACTTGGTGTTATGTGTGATGGCTGGACTAACATTCGGAATGAAAGTATTATAAATTTTGTAGTTACAACTCCTAAACCAATATTTTATAAATCACTACCTACTGGAGTTGATCGCCATACAGGGGAACATATAGCAGAACAGATTATTTCTGTAATTGAAGATATTGGTCCACGTAAAGTATTTGGTGTGGTTACAGACAATGCAAAGAACATGAAAAAGGCTTGGACTCTTATAACTGAAAAGTACCCTCACATAACTTCATATGGATGTGTTGCACATGGCCTAAATTTACTGATAAATGATATAATTAAAATTAATTCATTAACAGATATTATTAATGATGGAAAAGATATAGTCAATAATATAAAAAGGGGACACATAACTAGTGCAGCATTTCTGGATAAGAGAAATGCAAATAGTTCCACTTCTATGGCACTTTCGTTACCAGTTGTTACTAGATGGGGATCCGTAGTAGTTTTTTTTAAATCACTGTTAGTTAATAAACAAATTATCCGCTCAATGAATGTTGATGAAATTGTCGAAAAAGACCTGAAGCCAAATGTAAAAAAAACTATAAGCAGCTCAAATTTCTGGAAAAAAGTTGAATTTTTCTATAGTCTAATGAATCCAGTAGCAAAATGGATTACAAAAATTGAAAGTGATACACCCCAACTAAGTATTGTACCTATAATATTTATGGAATTAAAAAAATCATTTGAAGAGACATTTAAAAATAATAACTTTTTTAAGATATGAAGAAAAACATAATATTATGGAAGCTCTTGATCAAAGAAAAGAATTTTGTCAATCTAAAATCCATAAAGCTGCAAACTTACTTGACCCAAAATACTTTGGTAAATTGTTTGATTCAAATGACCACAATGAAGCAATAGAATTTATTTATCAGTTATCTAAACACATGGATAATATAGAAATTAATGCAAGAAAGGTAATTTCTGATTTTGCCAACTTCAAAAACAAATCCGGACCATTTTCAAAAACCAATGAATATCTTTGGGTTGCTGCAGAAGAGACAGAGGCATTACATTGGTGGAGAGCATTTTGTAATCATACAGAACTTGGTAAAATAGCCATAAAAATATTATCTTTGCCTGCAACTTCAGCTGCTGTAGAACGTACTATTAGTACATATAAAGATATTCACAGACATCACAGTTCAAAAAGAAATAGACTTTTAAATGAAAGAGCCGCTAAACTGGTGTTCATTAAACATAATTTGCAGGTAATCATTAATTTATTATTTTATAGGTAAATAAAATATTGTATAATTGTTTTCGTAAGTACAAATTCACAATTATTTTTAAATTTTTAATATTTAGATTTTAAAAGGCACATCGAAAAATAGCACTAAATCTACATCAGACTGTGATACTGATGCACCATTGTCCACATTAACGAGTCAAAATGAAATCATCACAACAAATACTGCTATATCTACAAACGATGATATTGAAATATCTCAAGGAGCTGAAGATGATATTGAAATATATCATGAAACTGATGATGAGTATAATTTGGATGATGATGATGATTTATTTTTTCAAGTTTCAACTATGAAACATTAAAATTTAAAATTTAATAATTATTAATTACCCTTTACATCAAGTATAAGAACTTGTTATATATTTAATATGTGTATCGCTGTATTAGTCAATTGATACATTTTGTTTTTGTTTAAAAAAAAAGTAATTTGTTTTTTTTTTATCTTATTTTGATTCCTATTTAGCATATTTTATTATTTAGTATAAAGTATCATTATATAATGAACTATACTATACTATACTATGATATAATAAGTTGATACATTTTGTTTAAATGAAAAAAGGATTTAATTTTTTGTTATCTTGATTGTTAGATTTGTTTTGATTACTATTTTGTATTTGTTTGAATGAGAAAGACTTAATTTTTATTTTATCATGTTTTGTTTCCTATTTATTATTTCTTAATATTATTATTAACTATTAAGTATCAGTGTATCACTATTCACTGATACAGTTCAGTTGATACATTTTCTATATCGCCGTCCCGGTAGAACAATGAAGCAACTGCAATAATTGCAATTTTACAGGAAACCCAAAAAACTAAATTATTTATGAGTGTACAAACTGATAATTCCGCAACGACGCAATTGCTTTCTGGCGGTCTAAAATACAACTACAGTTCCGTCGTTTTTCTACATTATGCGTACGCTATATTTAAACTCATTGTAGCATTTAGGCCATTTATACCAAATTTTGCAGTTGCGTCATTGTTCTACCGGAACGGCGATATGTAGTGCTGAAAAATATAATTGGCATTATTTTAAGAAAAAAAACATTTTTTTATATGTGTTTTAAAATATTCATGTATGTGTACCGTCAGCGAACCAAAAGATGATGGTTTGAAACTTTGAAATTAAGTTGAAGTCAATTTCAACAGTGAATGAAAAAGTAGTGTATTTTCAGTAATATTTTAAAGTGTATAGTTTAAATTAATTATATTAAAGATTTGTTAAACAACTTCTAAATTATATATGGTGTGTTCATAGACGTGTAAAAAAGCTAGATAGCGGATTTGCATATTACATTCCCATAGGAACATTGAAGTCTAGTGGCCATTTGCCAACAGGGAAATGTTTAAAAAATGACTCAATAGATAAGATTATAAGAATATAAGATACCTATAGATATTTATATAATTACAATAATACATAATAATATAATAATATATATTACAAATATATACAATATACATATTTGATATTATCAATCATGCAATTTTTCCCTGTTGACATATGGCTGACTTCAATATTGTCTTATAGTCGGTTATCTAGTTTTTTATATGTCTATGTTCGTGTATTATTATGTATGTAGTATGTAACTATGTTACATATTTTCTTTATTTCATACAATAAACCAACTTTTAAAAATATTCACTTGGAAATAAAAAAATATATTTTTCATGGAAATGAAATATTTCATGAATTTTTCATAAAATATTTCAAGAAAATAAATTTCATGAAATTTTACAACCCTACATATATACGATAGATATATATATATATCTACATATGTCAAAATGAAGACGTTATTATACAATACGTATTCATTCGAAGAAAAGCTAATAGAAAAATCGAATAGAATTAAATAGTTATCATAGTTATAAAAGAAAATGGCTATTGAAATGCTAATAGAGTACATGCTTTTTTTTTTAAAAATTTAAAGTCGCATATAATCAAGTATATCTATTGGGTTTTCAGTTGTTTCCAAAAATTCCCTTAGATGAACAAAGTGGTTTGCGTAGAGGTCTTAATGTTTTTGTTAAGTCGTGTGAGAAGTGATTAATTGTACGAGTGAGTTCCAACAGCTCCACTGGCGTATACGGTTGAAGTAAATTTTTATTCGCCGAGTCTATATGGTTAAGCATACACCGCGGAATTTCGTCGGGATATAAGGCCGTGTGGCAGTGCTGTTGTACTATTAACGTTGTACGGAACGTGGTCATAAAGTTTCTTCGTTTGTCCCTACAATAATAATAAAAGAATTTGGTAGAAAAAATTTATAATAAGTAGATAAGTTAAGAAAAATGAATTTGTAATAATTTATTCGGTATCGTCATCGTCGTAATAACGTTTTACGTTATTTTTATGTATATGATACTCGCGATTTTCTTTTTTGATCGTAATATTTTCATTGTCGTGTACTAAGAGTACCTCAAAAGGTCCTTGCCAATTTAAACTAAGTGCATTTTTCTTATTGTGCTCTTTGATATGAACTTTGTCACCTACATGTAAATCAATGACATTTAGGGTCCTATCGTAATAATTTTTGTTTGCCTCTTTTTTCCTTATTAAGTTATCTCGAGCGATTTTGTGTGCCTCTTGCATAATCCGCTTAAGATCGAATACATAATCGTCGTAATTATATTGTGGCTCGGGATTTTTATTGAACGCTGATGGAATATTTGGTTTCCTTCCGAATACTAGTTCGTAAGGCGTAAAATCAGTAGAAGTATGTACTGTTGTATTGTCGTATATTGTAGACAGTCGTCAAAATATTATTTCATATATGTAATAGAGGTGGGAACATTTTAAATTGTAAACTATTGACTTAGGTCAGTGAAGCATATGTGCTGAGACAGCGATAAGATTACTATATAACACCGCCGCACGCGCAGGCACGGGGAGTCCCGTTGTCGCTGAGTGAATCGGCGAGGACGTAGGTACTGTGGTCGTACGTGTGAAACGTCGATCGTAGTACGGGCTAGGCAATCCGGATTTGCTAAGTGTTTAATTTATGTTTGTTTTAATATAATAAAAGTGTTTCCGACCTAAAAACCCGAGTTGAGTTTTATTTCAAAGTCTTCTTCGTTCTTACCTTTAATATTGGAACAGTGCTCAGACCCACACACCTATAGTCAATGAGGTTTATTACACACTGAACAGTGCTCTGGTTGTGGCGTCCTAATAGTCATTCCAATTTAGGAAACGAACGAAGAACTGACAAAACGCTACCATCGTACCTCAAAGGTTAACAGTGCTAATCTGAATATATTCTAGAGACAGTCATTAGCCTAGAGCGTACGAGGGTAAGGTATAAAGTTGGTTTACCGCGTATTATCCAATACGGGTGATACCACAGTATTATAACAAAAAGTAGCGTAACACAATAATCTATCCCAATTACTGTCTTTGTCTACGAAGCTACGTAAATAAGTTTTTAATGTTTTATGAGAAAGTTCCAGAAAAGCGTTGCTTTGTGGATGCCACGGTGTAGTTTTAGATTTTTTTATGTCCAACAGTTTACACGTCATGCTTTTGAATAAGTCAGATAAAAAATTAGTTCCACAGTCAGTTAAAATTTACTCGGGTATACCGTATATACAAACGAAATATTCTACGAACGCCTGAGCTACCGTTTGTGCATCTGTGGCGGATAACGCTATTGCTAGCGAGAAACGACTTAGTTCGTCTTGTAGAGTTAAAATATACATGTTTCCTGTCAGTGTTTTCGGTAAGGGTCCTACTATATCTAGGCAAACCCTTTCGAATGGTTTAACTACCGGGCTAGTAATTAACATTGGTTGCTTCGTTTTTACGTGTGATTTATTTTTCTGACATAATTCGCAATGTTTAATATAATGTTTTACGTCTTTTTTCATGTGACGCCAGTTATAATTAAGTTTTAATCTTTTTACGGTACGTGATACTCCGGAATGTCCGCCCACTGGTGAATTGTGGTGTTCATAAATGATTTGTTGTTTTTCTTCTGACGTTAATTGCTGACCTACATATATTTTTACTACGATGTCGGTCGCTTTGAAAATGTGTCGAAACAACGTGCGAATACGCGGATAACCGGTTAGTGAGGTAGGTCCGTCTAATTTATTGGTAGAGAATGCATTTATTTTATTCGACATACAAAATGTTTTTATATCGTTTATAGCTAAGTAAATGACCTCGGCTTTAAGTGGTGTTGTATGAGTTGGCTTTAGGCCATAAAATACGAGTGAATTCGGTTCACTGTCGATAGTATAAAACTTGTTTGTATCCGAAAACTGGATTTTGCTTAAATCTATGTTTTTTATTACTTCACGCACTGCCGGGTTTGTTATAATTTTATCCTCCGGAATCATTATTATTACGTTTTCTCTTTCTATGGCCTTGGCTAGGTCGTCGTCGACTTCTATAATTTTCGAATTAAATATGGGTTTGTTTTCCGCAGCTCGGACCGCGTCGAAGTCGGTGGTCATACTAG